TTTCGTAGACGGCGTTTGTTTACCTGCATTCCAATAACAGCATAAACAACGAGGAGTATAAATATCACGAGAGCCACGGAGGGCAACGCCTTAGAAAGGAGAAAAGAATCGATAAACTTTAATGGTACGGCGTATTTTTCTGAGTTCTGAATGAGATTCACAAAAACTTTGGATGGTCGCTACGTTAATTGGGTTTCTGCGGAATTTAATTAACTCTTCACTCTTCCACAGTGTGCATTTTCTACGAAGCAGAGGCCCAAGCGATATAAAAGACAGACGAACGCTTTACACGGCCTGTTCAGCTAGTTTGATAGAAAAGAATCGGAAATTTCGTAGAAAGCAACGGTAAAAAGCGTGATTCCCTATGGAAAACGTAAGGGTTCCGATTAACAGTTCCAGTTAACTGTAATCACTTCTGACACGTATTATTGATCATATCTTCGAGTGTATCTCTCTCGGTCTCATACCTCAGTAGAACTATTATATGTCAAAATGACGGGGCAATTATTTGATAGAGTCGGTCCCTGCTTGAATCCCATCGGCACATACTTGGTTAGATGCAGAAGGAACAGGAGAACATTTCTAGTCACGCGGCAGACCTTAGGCATGCTCTCCGAAAAAATTAGGTCTAATTAACTTTAATCACTGCTGACACGTATTATTGATCATATCTTCGAGTGTGTCTCTCTCGGCCTCATACCTCAGTAGAACTATTATATGTCATTCGAAAGCTCTTTTTCTGCGCTATATTTCTGTATATCGCATATACGGAAATAGTCGTTCTGAGGCCAAGTATGTTTAGAAATACTTACGTCTATGAAAAATAATCTCCTATGTGCAAACAGTCCAAGATAATCCATGACACCCTTTATCATCTAGCCACTACGATAGATATACCATTCGATAGACAATTTCGCTCGCTACAAGTTCATATATATATGAAAGTGAAAAAAGTGTCCCAGGATCCCTTGACATTAGAAATACTGTTTGGAAAGCCGTGAAAAGTGGACGGCTTATTCCACGGTGAGGATCCTATGATCAACGTTCTCAAGTAGCTGCTAGTCGTCACCACTTGGACACAATAACCAAATTCGAATCTCTGACGTTTCTTCAAAAGACAATTCGCTGAGGCGAAAAGTCATCCGACGTTTCAGCAATTGTCAAATTCTCAACTGTACAAAGTCTTGGCGAAACGTCACATGACATTTCGCTGTGGCGAATTGTCTTTTGGCGAAACGGTTTTTTACTCTATATTCGATGAGCTACTTCTCAAAATATTGACAGAAAACGTTTCTTGAAACTCAGCGAACATAAACTGTATTCCACTCTTACCCGTAATGATTTGATAAATGTCCATAGCATCGTATAAATTCTTTCATTTATTCTCAGCAATTTAACGACGCGTAATATATAAAATAAAAGAAATAAATTTACTGTAATCCCGTCGTTTTTGGACTAAAAGATTATAAAAACGATAATAACAGAACATCATACGAAAGAATAATGAACAAAAACGCACGTAAACTATGGTATTGTAAATGATCTGTGTTAACGTAAGGATAATAAAAATGAAATGACATATATTCCATGAACTACTAAAATAGTTCTATAAGAAGAGATATTAGACATTCGAGTTGAAACACTGTTCTCTTTCAGTGACACGTACTCTTAGTCTCAATGATACTAGTCTTAAAACTAACTCCAACGTAAACAGAACAATGAAAATAAAATTCAGTATATTTAATGTGAATGCAAATGCTATTGGCTCTTTGTAATGCTGAAACAAATCAAAAAATATTATCGAGCCATTTTGAAAAAATATGAACATAAATGCTTACTCTAACAACAAGTACGATTGTGTTTAGCATAACCAAAATACATATAGTGTATTCAAACGGACGAAGTGTTACAAATGACCATATTTTTAGTTGTATCAGATTCGTTGGTTTATACAGTTTAACTGGACGTGCTTTCAATGCAAATTCAATACAGTGACGCTAAAACGAGTCTTAAACTTAACAAACTCAAAGCATAATCTGACTCAAATTTTTATACCTGATTTTTATTCAGTCCACAGTTTTTATATTCCTGTTCACTTTCATTTTGAAATGTTACGATCACAAAACCAACAAATATATTAACCGTAAAAAATGCAGTAATAACGATATACGTGACGAAATAGATAACTACTACGGATCGGTAATTGTAAAATAAATGATTAGTAGCTATGGCTGTATGGTATATTCTGTGAAAAGAGATAAAATTACAGTAATACGAATGGTGAAATGGAAAAATGTTGTATGCTTACTTTGACCATCCTTCAAGTGTAGCAACTGTAAACAGAGTTAATAGGGCCTGTGGTAGATTATCAAAATTAAATTTTGAAGTATATTCCCATTTTCGGTCATATTTTTGAATTCTACCATTTTTTTCCGATAGATATTCACCTCTAAAGTTACAAATGTCTGTGTGTGTATAACTCATAATATGGTAAATTTAACAGACTTACTTGCAATTAAGTTCATTTGTAATTAATTCATCACTACACGAATGAAAGGTTCCCTTTTTTGTAGACAAAAAGAAATTCCGCATTGAAAATATCTATTAATATAAACACACTATAGTTTACTTTGAATAGTTGTACTCCAATGCAGGCAAATACAAATAGTAGTAAAAATGCTACCAACATAATGTTACCGATTGTTCTAATAGCCACAAAAATACAGTGAACTACAGACTAGAATAATAAATCTCAAGAGTTCTGAGTACGCTTGTCGTATTTGAAAATATTGTACCTTCATATCTTTTGTCTTATTAAATATACTTAATGGACGAAGGAGACGGAATATTCGAAGAATTTTTAAAGCTGCCAGAGTATTATCTCTAAAAATTAGATGAAATAGTATCTGTGGTAAACGATTTTAGGATTATAAGTTCTAAGTTTTAAGTGCTTACTTGATAAATAGTGAAACTAAAGAAACCGTAATAATAAAGATATCCAAATTATTAAAGAAATTACGACAAAATGAACCTTTGTGAAGAATAAGACCGTATGATATGATCTACATAAAGAAAAAGAATCCACGTATAGTGACTGTAGAAATAAGAGTTACGCCCACTCACGTACTTTGAAACTTATTTCAAAAGTAAATACAGCCGTAAGAGCGAAATCGAACAAATATAAAATCTAAATTGCAAGGTCTGATTCAACTATTCTATCAATGTGATAAGCTGAATATATAATAAATAGCACAGCCACTTCATCACACAAGAACAGACATACCCTATTTCTCTTCGATTCTGAATCTACCGGATCTGAAAGAAAGTGATAAAATATCAGATATAGAGAGATATTTGGGAGAAGGTAAATCTTCGGACACGAAACATGATGGTGTATTCGCCCCTCAGTTCCTACCTTCGATCGCTAGTACAATACTTGACAACAAAATACAGATAAGTAGAAAATAATTCAACCAATTGGTAGTAGATATATCATGACAAATGATTCGAAATCTACCAAAAAAATTTAGTACAGACAGCAAATATGTGGCCTACAATTTTTCTTCTCTCTTTACTACACACTTGTTATTGTGGCCAAATAGGAACAGTGAACTATGAGCTGGAATTGCATTGAGATTTTCAGTTGGCTCTGATTCACTAAATATCACTACTTCAGATCTCAGCTGCTGTATCTTATTATCTGAAATAACGATTTCAAATTCAAAAAGTACTTGAAGTTGCTAATCAACGTCGTACTTTCACCGTCTGCATCCTTCTTCTGCCTATAATAATCAAAAACTGACGATTTAACTCACAACAACAGAATTTTAATGAAAGTGTACTTACAGAACACTAGGTATTAGCGCCTCATTCGTCGTTACTTTTGACTCCTGTCATAAAAACAAGAAAATATTTCTCATAGCAAGAATCCTATAGATCAAATCTTATAGAATATCTGCAAGTATCCTATAAGATCCTTATAAAAATCTTATGAATTTCTTAACAAGGCAATCGATGGAAATGCGTGGAAATCTTAAAGATATTGATAAGAATCTTATATAAGAAAGATTCCTATCAGAATCTTAAAGAAAGGATATAGTATAATTTCATCACATTCTTTAGTGATCAGTACCCTCTATTCTACTTTCTTACTATAATCTACTGTTTCATACACGAATAAAATAATTTTCTTTCCACTTATTTACTGTCTCTAGAATAAGACCTTAGTTCGACGTGGACAGTCTCATGACTCGGCCTCATTGTCTACTGCTTGCAGATCGGATTTACTTCCAAAATCTATCGTGACTACAGCAAGAAAATGAAGTTCGAAAATTAAAAATATGTGAAACAAGAATGCAAGGCATGACATGTTACTCGTTTGCATAAATCTCGCTTTTTCAAAGTGATCTCTAGAAAAATGCGATACATGAGATCCTATTTTTTGTATAAAGATCGGATTCAATTAGGACTCTCTAGGTGGTAGAAAACAGAGCAGCTCGAATACTGCTAGTATGCATCAAAACTCTTTTCATATCTGTCTTAATAAACAATACTGTAGAAGCAATCATAAAAGAACTTCATCTTCAGTTACTAACATGACTTATCATTCAATAATCAGTGATCAAAGAAAAGAATTTCTTAATTTATCGCAACACAAAATGTATCTTCGAAAAACATTTTAATGAGTTGTTTCTAGCAAAAGATAAATCTCTCTCAATATAATTCTGACAAAATTCTGGTAACTCTATATACGAATTCATAACATTTGATAGACTCCTAAACAATTTCCTATGTTTCGCAGGATCCTGTATGATGCCGGGTTATCCCTTTAGTTTGCATATAGTCAAACTCTTTAATTGATGTAAATAAAAGTTCTTATGTTAACTTATCGAAATCTTATGAACTCTTCTAAACTAATTATATAATCTATCTTACCGAATTCTTATCAGAACCTTATAAGATAAAATTGTTAGTTTTGGAATTACTTAATATGTGCGATCATCTGGAAAATGAATGCATTAGTACATGTTGATTTGAACTACTTGGCTTTTCTTATCACGGTGAACGTTTTCAACAGGTTTTTCTATCTATTCATA